TACACTGGAAGTCAGAGTTGTTGCAACTGAGAGTCGTGGACATACCCCGATGCTTCAGAAATGGCATACCGCGAGAGTCTAAGAGCGACATGGTTTTGGAGATGCCTCTCCTAAAGCGTATGGTGCAGCAATGTAAATCAGATAGCAGACAAGTAAGGTCATGTATCCTCGCAGCTGGTAATATCAAGGTCCCGAGTTGCACCTATCAAGAAATTGTCACTACCCAGACTGGAACTTTAAGCAGCAGTTGTAAATGCCAGGTTGTTGAAGTTTGCTGTAGACACTGCCTATGAAAAAAGAGTAGTGTTGTGTGTTGCACTGATAGTATGGTGGCACTGTATTGGGTAAAAGGTCAGAGTTCTCGTTGGAAACGATTCGTGGCGAATCGAGTAGCAGAAATACAGTCCACGTGGGATCCTGAGTGTCGGAGGTACTGTACCAGTAAGGAAAATCCTGCCGATTTGTTGACGCGTGGGTTGAGCTGTGGTGATATTAATGCCAGCACCTTATGCTGGAATAGACCTCGTTGGCTGTCTTCGAGTGACAGACCTTTACCCGTTCAGCCCCAAGTTGGACCTGTTCCCTCAGAAGTACGCGATGAGGAAAGGAAAATTGCTCATTGTTGTACAGCAGTCGTTAGAGAGCTGTTAATTCATATGTCGCGCTACGGGACATGGTTAAAGTTGATTCGAGTAACCGCTTATGTACCGAGAGCAGTCAAGTTGTTCACGACTAAATGTAAGTCTTCTGAAAGCGAACTGTCGGGAGAAGAAGTGAAGAAGGCAGAGATGAAGTGTTGTAAGTGGGTACAGGAAGAAGTCTATAAAGAAGATTTACCAGTTGCTGAAGTCTGGACAGACACTTCCCAAGAACAGTCGCCTATTCAAACTAGACCCGTAATAGGACAGAAAGGATCAGGTTATAAGAGTTGCTGCCCGACTGCAGTTTACTGGTCTACTTGAACAGACCAAGCATCAAGTAATATTGTCTCACGGACCTCCAGAAGTTGCAAAGACGGTACTAGACCTACACAAGATCATGTTACATGCGGGCCCAGAAACCATACTGTCAACCCAGACGACGATCGAGTAGTATCCCATAATGCACCTCGTTTCATGCTATATTATCACTGCGTACGTGACATATCACGATCAGTAATCTTCAGCACGCGCGAAATGAACATGGCAGTGCTCGATGTGGATTGTCTCGAAACATGTTTCGGTCCAGCAGTTTCTGCTTTTGAGATTATCGATACTATTCGATCGTCGTCTGCTGTCAACCTTAAGACAGAAATTTTGGCTGAACCAAGGGAGACGAGAAGTGAAACGTGTTATCAGACGTGTAGCTTGCCAAAAACAGCGAGTTGAACCTTGCGCGCGGAAAATGAGCCCATTGCCGGACAAGAGAGTAGATGTTCACCAGCTTTCGCACATGTTGGAACTGATTTCGCAAGACCTCTCTATGTAAAAGAAGGTTCAACCATACAGAAAGTGTACGTTTGTCTATTCACATGCGCATCATTTCGTATGATTCACTTGGAACTAACACACAGCCGTACCACTGATGAGTTCCTACGAGCCTTTAGTCGCATGACAAGTAGCGGAGGTCTTTGCCATACAGTGTGGTCCGACAACGCAAAAACCTTTAAGGCTGCAAGCAAAGAAATACAGAAATTGTACGATCCTAGTACTCAAAGTCGAACGGTGTGGGATACATTGGATTGAAATCGAATTAATTCCGAACTGTCGTCGAAGGAGATTACGTGGAAATTCATCACCCAACGTTCACCATGGCGGGGCGGATGGTGGGAACGATTATTCAGAGCAATCAAAGACTCTGCGTTAAGTGCTTGGAAAAGCACTTCTCGCCTTTTCTAAGTTGAACACACTATTAATTCGAATTGAAGGCATCATCAACTCGCGACCATTAACAGCAGTGAGCGACGATTGCAGAGACCCTTTACTGGTTACATCTGCTCATCTTGCAATTGGTAGACCAATTAGCCAGTTACCTGAGAGTAAAAAAAATAGCTTGGAGGAGTCTAATAACAGAACTGTCGAAGGTATCTTTACCTACAGAGACTACTTGACCACCATTGGAAACGTTGGCAACGAGAATATCTGCATCTGCTGTCCGTGAGAAGTATATGGCAAGAGGAAAACCCTTCCATTCGAGAAGGTGATATCGTATTAGTCTCTGATGATAATGTATCGCGTACCAGGTGGCCAATGGCTAAAGTGGAAAAGGTTCATCCTGGTAAGGACGGACTCGCTACTGTGAGAGCACTGAAAGCTGTATTCAGCAGGCCTGTTCAACACTTACAAAGATTGGAAATTGATGCAGCAGCCCCTCAAGTTACCCGTGAAGCGGATGTTCCTGTTGATGGTATGGAGAAGCCGCGAGCGAACTATGTTATTGTTAAAAGTGTACCTATTTGTAAGCCTAAGAAGAGAGTTGTCCTCCCCAAAGGAGGACAAGGTGGCCCATCGTCGTACTCGTACTCAGGTCATTAAAAGCCCCGTAAGAATGGACCTGTGAGAGTAGAATAATTATGTAGATTAAACGTCACGTGTCTTCCTTGCTAGTCGCTCGTAGATTTATTTGTAAGTCAGGTTCCCGGGCAGTCAACAACCTGTTGTAAAGCGGTGTATTGTAAATTGAGCGGATTAAAGTTGTGTTCAAGCGTTCAAGTTTGTATTCCATCGCTTCCTTAACAGATGGAAACACCCCATTTTTCCAATGGGTAGATACTTCTCTACATCCTAAAGTCAAAGATTTATTAACCTTACGTCCATGGGTTCGAACGAACCGATGACAGTACCTTCTGTGGACAGTGATTTATTCTGTTTCCCGCCCATTAAAGACATAGGCGTACGGGCCGCGGGGGCGGGGAGGGGTTGGGTGCTGCAGCCCCCCAACATTTTAGGCGAGAGTAAGAGAAACTTGGGCAAAACTAAAAGAAGCTTGCATGTGTGTGTTTTTTTTTTCGAAGAGATATCTTCTATTTCAACTTGAAGCTAGTTAAATCCACACGAGGCAGTGGTTGCCTAGCACGCGATCAGTTTCTGGTTATTTTTGAAAGGGATCATATGTTGATATACATATTTGTATTTTTTTTATTGTTGGGCACTGTACTGCACTACACTAGTCAGTGTGTAAAACTCGCCTTGTACCATATTAGACTTGTCGAATCCAGCGCCACAAAAACGTAAGCGGGCCTATCGCCATTGCGTTACCTTTTCCGGATGTAAAAAAGACATCGTTGTGAGTACCAAGACGCTCATGCAAGAACCAAGCACATAGGCAACAAAGTTAAATTTACTGTTTCTCCTGCGCCAAATCAATGGCAGCTAGGTTTCACCGGCGGCGATAAAACAATCAATATGCTTAAATGCAGCAAAATCGACGCCGAAGACGTTGGCTCAGATCTTCAGAATGAGAGCAGCACAGATATAGTGGATTCCTTAGATACTGGGCCAGATAAGTCAGAAATCGAGATGATTCAAGTGAATAATCACAGGAAAAAATGACCGATTCCCATTTTTGGATATTTTAGGGAATTTAAAGAATACCCACAAAAATCCCAAATTTGGAAGAGTGAGACAAGTCCCAATCAGGGAACTTGGTTGGGAATTCCCTGGTTGAGACTTGTCTCACTTTGCCAAATTTGGGATTTTTATGGGTATTCTTTAAATACCCTAAAATATCCAAAAATGGGAAATCCGTTATTTTTTCCTGTGAATGGTGTTCGGCGTGTTCCGGCTACGTCAGAATTTATGAATGTCGGTGTGATAGATGAATCAGAAATCATGGATAAAGGTAATTCGGATAAGTCGGAGATAACGGATATGGAAAACATACATAATGGTGCTGACAAAGCTGCTTGTGCTCTGGATACGACAGAAATCGTAGATAACGATGCTAACTCGGAAATTGTGCATAGTGCTTATCGGGATTTGTCCATTTCAGTTGTCATAGATAAAAGTGTTCCAGAAAAGTCACTTACGTCAGTTATCATGGATAATGGTCCCCAGATAAGTCAGATATCGTAGATGGTGCGCACAATTCTCCCTTGGATACAAATGTATATAGTGGTACCGGCCGAAAGTCTAGTGATATAGACGAGGGTCCTCAGCAACCTATCTTGAAGTGCTACAACCCAAAAAAAATTAGTAGTGTATCTTTGTATAGCGATTTCAATCCAGCTTGGTACAAACGATATCCATGGCTAAGCTAAAACGGTGACACGAAGAAAGTGTGCTGCTACCCATGCCAGAAATACTTAAATGCCCACGATTTCACGTTTGACTAGTGGAAGATGATAGAGCGTCTCACTAAACACCACTCGAGTGAGAACCATCAAAGGGCCATGGCGATATGAGAAGGAAAATCGCGACTACTTGAAAGTTATGATTGAATGTCTCATGTTCACGGCCCAACAGAACATCGCCCAACAATGAACAACATCATAGTTTGAGTAATAGCAGTGATGTAAATAGAGGTAATTTTCTGGAACAAATTCACTTGCGGTGCGAGGACATAGCTTGGCTGAAGGATGAACTTGAAAGCAAGCTTCAGAAGCATGCACAGTGGACATCTCCCGTGAAACAAAACGAACTGCTACAAATTATTGCCGATCTCATTCGCGATCGTATCACAAACGATGTGCGAACCAGCGGATGGTACGGTATCATCTTGGACGAGACATCAGACATTAGCAGAACAGAAAAAGTTTCACTTTGCCTTAGTTTCGCGCTTAATGGAACGAAGAAAGAAGCATTCATTGGTTTCTACTACACAAAGTCAACCGAAGGCGAAGTACTGTATGAACTGGTGAAATCTGCTTTCTGTAGCGTGGGGCCTGAGCCCGAGTTGGGTCGGACATGCGCAGTTTAGGAGACCTACGACTCGTGTAACTGTTATGCTAGTTTTAGTAAAGTGATTCGAACGCTAGCTGTGTTAGTTTTGTTACATTTGGTGGCAGCGGTGGGATTTTTGCCATGGAAGATACTGTGAAAGCTTTAGAAGAGAAAGTACCGCTCCTCCAGACGAAACTTGGAAAGAAAAGTGAAAGTAAGGCTGGTGCAAGCGGCAGTTCACCGACCACGTCGCCAGAAAACCCGCTTGGCATCAAACCGGAGAGCTTCTCTGCGACGTCCAGCGAAAGTTGGGTGGTTTGGATACGGAAATTTAAAAGTATTGCAGCCCTTAACAAGTGGAGTTCTGAACTTCAATGTCAAATATTACCCGCGTACCTGAAAGGCCTTGCCGAACAGACCTATTACAGCCTGACTGCCGAACAAACAGCCACGTGGACAGCCGTTGAACGCGCTCTGACAGATCGATTTCATCCTAAGGAATCTCGTCACGTACACATTTCCGCTCTACGAGCCAAATTAAGACGTCCTGACGAAGATCTACATCAACTGAGGTGCGACATTTCTCGTCTTGTGGAGCTGGCCTATCCGGATGACCCCCCGGATATACTCAATCGCACAGCCAGAGATTTCTTCGTGGGTGCTTTGTCCCCTATTATATTGCGAGAGAAGGTGTTGGATTTGGGGCCCAATACTTTGCCTTAGCGGGAGCTCAGCGATATGAATCAAATCAAAAAGTGCTAAACAAGGGAAGTGCTCGAGTACTGTCTTCAACATCTGGGGAGCAGGAAAAGTTTGGCTCCCAACAGGGCACCCAAGAACCCCCAGCGTGGGCTAAGGAGCTTTTTCAGCAGCAAGCTGAAATCTTAGAGAAGCTAAAGAATATTCCTCAAGGGAGGCAAGGTAGGAATGAAGGTGTAGAACCTGGACAAGGCCCCAGAGCATGTTTTAAGTGCGGTAGCCTGTCTCATTTTATTCGTGAATGTCCACATCAAGTCCGTCCCGACCAGGGAAACGGGAGATGGGCGGGGCGCAGCCGAAAGTGACCCCGCCCGAGAATCCAAAGGGAGCATTTTTGCCTTGTGATGTCAATGGTGTTAAGTCCCAAGCCTTATTAGACACAGGTGCAGAAGCAACAATTATCAGTGAAGACCTATACAGTCGCTCTAAGACACATATAAACAAACTTGAGCCCGCACTGAAGCCTGTCCTGGGGGCCAACAATATGCCACTTGATGTGGTTGGAGAAACAGAAGTAACAATTCAGCTGGGCGCAATCAGGGCTAAGCATAAAGTGCTGGTGTGCCGAGGCTTGGCACAGCAAGTGTTGATTGGTATAGATTTTCTAACAGCTCACAAATGTATCATTAACTTTGACACTAACACTGTCTATAGTAAGGAGGGACCCAATAGAATGGTTTTTGGATGCCTTGATAGAGTTTACAGGATCACTGTGGCCGAAACCGTCACATTATCTCCAAATATGGTCGCAGACATACCTTGTGAGGTCCAAGGGGTAGATGACTTAGACAAATGTATGGGTGTACTGGAACCAGCGGACAAGTTTTCAGAAAGATATTCAGCTGGGGCCTTTCGGACGGCCGTGACTGTGAAAGGAGGTTGAATCCCAGTTCGTGTGTTCAATTACCTTAACAAGCCCCTCAAGATTTACAGGTGTAGCAGTATGGGGGACCTCTACCCATTAGCTGGCGAGGAGGAATCACAGGAGGAAACCAATGTGGGTGTGGGCTACAAGGTGGTACCCCCTGCGGCCTCAAAGGAAGATGTTGAGGTTGGATTGGAAGCTAAACAATGTGGTGCGGTTTTTGTGAGGGACGCTGACGTTCACAGTTCATTGGTAGAAGAGATGTTCCCGATCAGCAGCGATTTGGTCCCGGAAGAGGAAAAACTTAGGCATTATGAGGTGTTGTCCACTTACGCTGACTGCCTTTCAAAGGGGCCGTGGGATTTAGGTACTGCAAAGGGCGTACAACATACCATCGACACAGGCTCTTCCAAGCCAATCCAGGTACCGCCACGAAGAGTTCCCTTTCACAAAAGGCAAGAAATGCGCAACCAAGTGGATGAAATGCTCGAAGCAGAGATTATAGAACCGTCCGATTCCCCTTGGTCCTCTCCGGTGGTTTTAGTAGCGAAACCTGATGGCAGTCAACGTTTCTGTGTGGACTACCGCGCTCTTAACTCGGTAACCAAGCGAGACTTGTACCCGCTTCCTCGGTGTGATGACATATTGGAGAGTTTATCGGGGGCACAGTGGTTTTCTCATCTCGACCTCCTTAGGGGATATTGGCAAATTGATGTGGCAGAGGAAGATCGGGAAAAGACAGCGTTCGCAACTCCGGATGGTCTTTACCAATTCCGTAAACTAAGTTTTGGCCTTACGAATGCACCTGCATGTTTTATGAGGGCTATGCACCTTATCTTGAAGGGTTTATGCTGGTCAGACTGTCTAGTGTATCTAGATGATATCATTGTCTTTGGTCGAACACTACAGGAGCATAGGGAGAGACTGTCACTTGTGTTGTCACGCTTGACAGAAGCAGGCTTGAAGATTAACCCCAAGAAATGCAAGCTTTTGTGTGAACAGGTGGTTGTGTTAGGTCACGTCGTGTCACGGGAGGGCATATCTACTGATCCAGAGAAAATAAGAGTCATAAAGGAGTGGCCGGAGCCAGTTGATGAGAGTCAGCTGAGAGCGTTCTTGGGGACGGCTGGTTACTATAGACAATTTGTGCCAAACTACGCCCAAATGGCATCCCCTTTGCACCGCGCTTGCCAAAAGGGGGACCGTTTCAGATGGACAGCTGAGTGCGAGGAAGCTTTCCAGGACATCAAGCACAGATTGTCGAGTGCTCCCATCCTGGCTTTTCCCCAGCTAGACGTACCGTTCATCCTGGACAGTGATGCCAGTGACAGTGGGCTGGGGGCGGTGTTGTCGCAGGTTCAATGTGGGAAAGAACGTGTAATAGCATACGCAGCGCGTGCTCTATCAAAGGCTGAAAGGAACTATAGTACCACCCGGAAGGAACTGTTGGCCCTCGTGTGGGGAACGGAGCACTTCGAGACATTCCCTTACGGGCGACGTTTTCTGGCCAGGACTGACCATAGTGCTCTGCAGTGGCTACGGAACTTTAAAAACCCTAGAGGCCAGGTGGCTCGGTGGCTTGAAAGGCTTAGTGACTTTGATTTCGAGGTGGAACATCGTCCGGGTCAGTTGCACGGCAATGCGGATGGACTGTCCCGCCTTCCCTGGGACGAGGGTGCATCGGTTAAGGTAGAGAGGGACGCCACCCTGATTCAGTCTGTGAATATGGAACCCTTGTCGAGAGAAAGTATACGTGCAGCCCAAAACCAAGATCCTGTTCCGTCGCAAGTTATGAGGTGGCTTGAAACTGGTGTCAGACCTGCTAGAGGCGATGTGGAAGGAGGGGGGCGCAAACTTTTGTCATACTGGTCACAATGGGGAAGGCTGTTTCTCAGGGACGGTCTGGTGTTTAGACGTTGGGAACACGAAGTGACAGGCGAAGAGATTTATCATCAAATCTGCTTGCCCGAGAGCGTCCTGTCACAAGTGTTGTGCGTCTTGCACAACAATCCTTCAGCAGGCCATCTTGGCGTCTCGAAGACTCTAGAAAAAGTGCGGAGGAGATTTTATTGGCATGGCATGCGGGAAGATGTCGAAATGCACGTAAGAAGGTGTGTCCCATGTGCTGAAGTCAACGACCCTTGCAAGCTTCCAAAGGCACCCCTTATAAACATTAAGGCAGGGCACCCCCCTACAAAGGGTTGCAATAGACATCGTAGGTCCCACACCAAGATCTACCTCTGGCCATGAGTGGTTGCTGGTGGTCTCCGATCATTTTACTAAGTTTGCTCAAGCCTTCCCAGTGAGAAACACCTCAGCAGTCACGCTGGCGAAGAAGGTGATGGATGAATACATATGCCGTTTCGGGTGTTTCGAGGGTTTGCATTCTGATGAGGGAGCCAATGTGGATGGAGCTGTATTGAAAGGTCTGTGCGATTTAATTGACGCAGCGAAAACAAGGACAACGCCCTACCATCCCCAAGGGGATGGGCAGGTAGAGAGACTGAACAAATCTCTGGTGAAGATCCTTAGTAAGCTGATTTCTGACCATCGGCGAGACTGGGCGGACTTTGTGCCGAAAGCAGTTCTTGCTTACAACACTAGTGTGCATGAGTCGACGGGATTTACCCCTTACCGCTTAATGTTCGGCAGGGAAGCTATTCTGCCATTGGATGCTCTCCTTAGGCTCGAGACAACACCTTCCCAAGGGTCGGCACGGACATACCCCGATTATGTTGTTGAGCAGAAGGAGCAATTGGTATAGACGGAGCAGATAGTGAGAGAGAACCTCAAGCGAGCGCAGAGGTCCCAGAAAGCTTATTATGACACCAAGTGCCATGGTCAGCGGTTCCGTGTAGGAGACCGGGTTTGGTATAGAAACCGAACCAGGACGAGAAGGAAGAAATTCCTCAAACCCTGGTGTGGTCCTTGGAAGGTGGTGAAAGCTCTATCTGATGTTACCTATCGCATTGAAGAGGAGAGGCGGAAGCCGGGAAAACGTCGTCAGAGGAAGGTGGTACACCTCAATTATCTGAAGCCATGCTTTTCGCCACCTGAAATCCACGAGAAGCCCCCACAGTTAACCTCTTCCAGCCATGCGGAAGATACGCCACAAGTGGAGAACCTGAGGGACGGGCAGCAACCGTCTCGGGGAACCTTAGTTGACTCTGGAGATGTCGAATTGGAATGGCTGGAAAATCCAGTTGCTACAGTCACAGAGGTTCCTCATTCCTTCCAGGAGCGTGAATCTAGTGGTGAATCTAGTAGTACATTAAGTACATCCCCTCGAACTGCTGACCTGCCGTGTCAATCTGAGGTTTCTCAAGTGAGTGATGAACCGCGTCGTGAACCGTGTCATGCTGCGAGGCCGAGACGTGAGCGAAGGGAGCCTGTCTGGCTACGAGACTATGTTAGAACAGTTGTTGTTTACCCAACCTGGCCCTTGAACTTTGTAGGAACATTTGCATGTTTAAGTTAAAAATTCTTTCTTGTACTTCGGACCTTATGTGGGAGGGGGTAGTGTAGCGTGGGACCTGAGCACGAGTTGGGTCGGACATGCGCAGTTTAGGAGACCTACGACTCGTGTAACTGTTATGCTAGTTTTAGTAAAGTGATTCGAACGCTAGCTGTGTTAGTTTTGTTACATATCACTGAACTCAATCTTGACCTCAAGAACATTGAGGAAGAGAAGAGGCGAGTCCCAAACGACACGCCTTGTTTAGTGACACAGAAGTACAAGGAAAGGATCTAAAACGGGCGCTGAAGTCATTAAGTACCACGCGATGGTCATGTCGGTGGGAAGCGGCAAAGGTCTTACACGGGCAAATGGAACGCATTGTAAAAGCCCTACTCACACTGTCTTCAGACAAATATCTAAAAATCTACTCCGAGAGCAGAGTCTTATTGACCGCCATTTGCGACTTGGAGTTTGTCTTTGGACTGTGTGTACTGAAAGTAACCCTGAGCATCACTAATATCTTCAGGGGAAGACGGTCGACGTCATCTCCGCTCGTAGAAATGCCGACTTGACCATTCAGACCCTACGCGAGTGTCGGAGTGAAGAAAGTTTCAAACGCGCATGGCAGTTAGCATTAGCAGT